AGGGAGCATCTTATTTTATCCATATCTTTCTGCAACAGTATTGATCATTCAGTTTGTACAACGAAAACCTGAGATTAGAAATAATTCTTTCTTTTGCCCCTCATATATACATCAAGTCATTGAATACATTATTGCTGGAACTGGATTATCCTTGGTTATTATAAAAGTTAAAGTGACTGTAGCTCTGGAAAGCTGCTTTGACAATGAGGACAGGCTAGGAGGCAGGAATGGACGGTAGGTAGGTTCCCTGCAGATGTAAGTCAGCACAGCTTCATTGACGTAATGAAATTGTTACGATTTATAGACTTTTCTCAGCTACTGCATACAATCAGATGGGGTGAGATGGTGGGATCTCCCCCTTTCCTACTGGGCTAGTGTATTCAAATTAACATAAAGCTTGAACATTCTTACTGTTGATGAGTTCAATTTGCATACATTAAACCAAATTAAATAGCAACAGAATATATTTTGTGCAAAAATAACATCACTGTTAGTAAATTGTAGTTCTCTTACAAAGTAGTGGGCCTCCTCAGCTGGACCTTCAGTGCGCCAGGTCTGTGGTTGCTCCATTGTAGTTCTGTTGATCTCAGTGCTGCCAAACCATTTTCTGCTAGTACTGTATCTGGTCCAGATGCATTATGGCATCACAACAGATCTTACAGGAATAGCGACAGTTCAGCACAACAGATCGACATGTAGTAAAATCACTGAACAAGTTCAAGTTGTTCCTCTTGGACTGAATTTTTTAGCTTCTTGGCTGTTCTAGTATTCATCTCCGTGAAAAAATAACTTCAGAGCAGAATACCCCATCTTTTGATTACCACGTCTTTCAGGAATTGGTACATTTCAGACCGAAAATTGAAGGCTCTCTGAAATCTTGGGCGTTTAAAGGGATTGCAACCTTGAATGATAATTTCATGGATAATAGTTTAAAAACTGATGAAAAACCTTTCTATTTACCAAAACTAGCTTGTGAAACTCATCACAAGTTACTACAGAGGCTGAGAGGTCAGCACATTTCAGAGAAGGGTGTTTTTCAGGTGTACGGATTTGTTATAAGTAGGAATCATCCCAAGCTTGGGTTTCATGGAGAACCCAGACGCTTGTGTTTCAGGGCTGAACCCAACTTTCAGCTCTCGGTACACTTAGAAAACTGTGTGTGAATTATCCCAGTGCTGTTTAGAACAGTTTTCCCTTCAAAGCATACAGCATCAGGGCACCATTGGAGGCTGCTCCGCATTTGTATGACATTTAATCAGCTACAGCTTCACTGTAGTTCAGGATTTGTTATGTTTGATATGTTTTGTAAAGAAATAATGTATTTATGTTGTGTAGCTGACTCACACTTTGTGAATGTATTGGGTGATTTTAGGTATTTTATTATCAGATTATGCATAATTCTACAAATACAATTCTACAAGTGGTAATACATGTAAAAACAATTGAAATAATTAACAGTATGAAAGGAGAGGAATAAGAAAAGAGAAGAAGAGTAGAACAAGGGGCCAGAGAACCACTTCAAAATAAGTACTTGGGATTTTTTTTAAATTGCTATTATTATCATTTAGCTTTTGTATTCAAGGGTTAACAGAACACAGTAACTTGTTCGTTACCTTTTTCCAACATTCCCGGAGACCTCCTAGATCTGCAAATACCTGAAAAATATGAATTTAGGCAGCTGAACTACAGCCTTTTGATTTCTCCATTGGATCCTTCAGAAGGCGTACCCTGTGGCTCAGCCTTTTTTCTGAAGGTCAAGAGAGTTTTATCCATCTGACATAAGTAGCTGGAGTGTGGCATTTATAACTTGAGTAATGTTATGGATGATAACACCATTAGACATTTTTACAGCTTCAGCA